TTTGCTTCTTGGATTGTCTTGAGTATCATTCCGCACCTTTTTTATTCCACTATATCTATGTTGTGCTTTGATTGTGGGTGCTAAACCGGTAGCATCAGTTTGGCTTATGGTTCTCAAGTTTTTTGCTAACCGATCCACTATGACTGTGATGAGCCTCCATTGTAAGCTCAGGGCAATGCACAAAGGAGAAAAGGGCATAAGATCTCTTATCACACAAGTCAAAGAGGCGCCGTTGGACATCAGTAGTTGTGCGTTGAAGGAGCATAATCGTCTCTTTCTATGCCGTGTGTGCAAGAACCACGTCCTCGTTGCCTCCGGCGACGACTTCTTTAGCTGCATCCGAATGGCGGCGGAGGGCGGAGAGGTGGTGGAAGGAAACCTCTGCCACAAAACTGTCAATCTGCGGTTCAGTGGTCATACTACATATCACCATGGTAGTTTAGTGGAAACTGTCCATTGCAATGACATCGACTGCGACCTTGTCCTCGGCAAGAGATATGTTGCGAGTGGTCAATTGCTGAGGGAGCTTCCAGTTATGTTTTTTGTATGGGAAGAACAAGAATCGGCCATTTTTCTTAAGCTGGACATTTGCTGTATTGAAATGGGTTCCGTGTGGTTGGCCCTGAGGAGGCTTTCGTTAACGAAATCTAGAGGAAAATTCAAGCCAATTTCTACACCGGAAACTACTGCCGTTGGTTTTGTTTTTCAATTTTTTTTTGTGGGAGAATATTTGATCTAAACATGATTTTACACTTTGTTTAGAAAACAAATGCTCGTTTTTACTAAAAAAAAGTCTGTCAAGGATCCTTGTATAAGAGGATGAAGAAGAAAGAGATGAAGGTGAATAAGAAGAACGAAATGAAGCATCGACACTTTCGATTCAAGTGAACGGAAGGAAGCATCGACACTTTCGATTCAAGAAGAACGAAAGGAAGCATCGGCACTTTCGATTCAAATGAACGGAAGGAAGCATCAACACTTTCGATTCAAATGTTCATCTTTTCATCAAGAAGATTGAGAAAATAGGGAGAATATTAGAATGTTAACTGTGAATGTTTGCGTGAGATAGTTAGCATTGTTAGCAGGTTGTTATGATGTTGTTTGAAGTTGGTTAAGGTTGTTAAAACTGCTGTGCAGTTACAGCCAGCTCAACTATGCAAACTTGTATATAACACAGCTGGTGTATTGCAAATAATGACACGCATTTCTGTTTAGTATCCTTTTATCTTGGTTTTCAACATCTTCCACCTAAGACGATCATGAAACAGATTATTAACCGAAAAGCAGTCTAACAATCCAATAAAGCTATTTAATTCTTTTATCAAATTAATTCAAATGTGAGGGGACAATAACAATATCTATAAGCTGACGTCAATTATTTTTGTATTTTTTTCACATGAAAAGATATAAAAAATAACCAATTTATAATTACTAAAATGTTTATATCAACTTTTCTTCTTCTTATTTTTATATTTTTTGATTATTTTTGATGATGTGATAGAAAAGAACAATATGACTTATATATATATGCATGCAAGATCGATATTTTAATATCATGAAAGCAAGTGGAGTAAGTTGAAATTGACTAGTTGTAGGTCAATTGTTTTCTTTTTCACTGCACTGCACCTGGGTTGGATATTTTATATAGGGAAGTGGATGTAATTTCCATTTCAGTTAATATAATACGCATAACACCGCGGCGGCTTTCCCATGGAAGAATTTGAGAATTCAAATCTCAGACCCTTTATAAGGAGGGACTCTCCTTATGTTTCAGTGTTTATTTTGTTCCTTCTCAATTTTCATCTGCCCCTTATTTTCAATGGACCTTACAATCTGCCCTTGTTTTATAATGTCATGTTTTTCAGCTGAAGAGGCAAGGGAATTGTGCTGCTCAGCAGCTTCACTGGTTAATTCTAAGTTGTTCTGTGCAATCATCGTCTTTATATTTGCAGTGGGTTAGTGACGGTCTTCGTGGTGCCATTTGTTTTACAGTTTTTGTTCCTTTCCCTTTTGAACACAAGACTGAAGTAATAAGAATCTGGGTTTTGTCTGCAGTTGGAGCAACTTTAGGAGCCTAGGTTAGAGCTTTTGTTGGAGCAAATAAAAGACCGGTTGTCTCCATGGAGCAACAGTTGGAGCCATAAGGGGCTGTTCTTTCTCAATCGACTTGTTTAAAATTTCACTCTTGATTTGCAGTTCCGATGATACGGGGACCAGTTATTTCCTCCCACCGGTAAGACATTACAAAACTTGTACTTATTTTCTGGAAAAAGTGTTACTTATTTTAATGCTTGAATTTGGTTTTTGATTAGATAAACGCATTTAACTCTCGTCATTAATGAAGGACTGTCAAAGGATGAAATAGAGAACATTCCAAGCATCAGAGTCGCAGAAGAAGACGTGAGGGATTCATCCAGGAACCCAGTCTACTGTTCCATATGCCTTGAGGTTTTTATCAAAATTTCACCCACTGACATTTACTGCTATGTAATCCAAATAGCTTTCATTGCTCATTCTCTCTTGTTTATGTTTTCAAATTTCCAGGACTTGGTACGTGGGGAAATAGTTCATAGCTTGCCAAACTGTCACCGTAAATTCCATATAATGTGTATTCAAACGTGGCTAAATGGGCATAAATCTTGTCCTTCATGAAGGAGAAGAATTTGACGGACAATTATACTTTTTCCATATGTATTGCCAGGGAAATCTATATATATATATATATTGTTTACAAATACGTGAAGCATGCATGCATGCGATATTAACTTCAAAGTTCAAACCAGTTGCTTTTGGGTTCCAAATCTCATCTTCCAAGTCATTCGCATCTTTTTTAAACGAAATTTCCACGTAAAAGAAGCAGCTTAAGACGCCTAATCTGACAACACAAATATTTCAAACGATATTGGAAAACATGGTGCTTACAAAAGTTTAGATTTTGAGAAAGGATATATATCTCCAAACCCTATACGAATATTTCTAACGCTCAAACCTAAAAATAACTTAATTCGCGACAATCGGATGCAGGGGCGGACCCAGGACAAAAATTCAGGGGTTGCACAAAAAAATTCTTATAATTTTTTTTAGGGGTTGCACAATATTAAAGGTGATACTTGTATTAATTAGAAAAAATTAAAAAAAAATTAACACTAAGTAGACAATTTTATTGCAAATTTTTTTTTCTATAAGAATTTAACTGAAATATGGGGATTCTACCTAAAAATCACAAAATATATATATATAAATACTAAAATAATATCATTTGATCAATGTTCCTCACAATTTGAGGGGTTGCCCGGGCTACCCCTAGCAACCCCCTGGGTCCGCCCATGATTGGATGCCGATTAGTTTGTGACTGCCTGACTGGATAAGGAAGATGAGATAAACAACATAAGCATTGTTGACTATGCACCGAAAGTGTGCATAATAAATGCAACTTTCGGTGTTGCTTGAAAAAAAGGGGCATCAGCTATTGTTGAATTTTCAGCAATGGTAAAATCTCATTTTTAGCCATTGTAATTTAGGATATTTACAAATTAGTCCTTAAAACTTCAACTATAAATACCCTAGCTCATTTGGCTTCAAAATCATTCCAAAGCATTCTAGCTTTCTTCCAATACTAGAGAGAATTTAGAGATTTTCTTGAGAGTTGTTTTCTCTTTTTTTATCAAGAGAGAATTATCATTATTTTCTCCTTGGTCGATCGAGAGAAGTTGTAATTCCTATTTTCTCATAGTGAAATTCTTCTACTGTTGCCCGTTGCTTTTACCCTATATTATTTAGGGGTTTTCCACGTAAATTTTGTGTCTCTTTTATCTTCATTTTTATTTTCTCAAATTATCAGTTGCGATTTTGCTCTATCCGATAGCCGTCTTCCGCAACAATTGGTATCCGAGCCAGATTTGACTGTGTAATATATGCTTATTATCTTTGTGGTTGCCACCAAAAGGTGGATCCTCCAACATAAGAAAGTAAGAAGGTATTACCCATTATTTGAAGGTTCCAGAGAACTATTCACGATAGTGAAATAGTGGGAGCTATCCGTAAAAGAAGTTATGGCAACGAAATTTGATATTGAAAAATTCAATGGGAGAAATTTCTCATTGTGGAAATTGAAGATGAAGGCCATCCTGAGGAAAGACAGTTGTCTAGCAGCTATCAGTGAAAGGCCGGTGGATTTCACAGATGACAATAAAATGGATCGAAATGGACGGGAATGCTATGGCAAACTTTCATCTAGCATTAGCAGATGAAGTATTATCAAGCATCGAGGAGAAAAAGACAACTAAGAAGATATGGGATCATCTCACCAAACTGTACGATGCCACATCGCTGCACAATAAAATTTTCCTTAAGAGAAAATTGTACACTCTCCGTATGCCAGAATCTACTTCAGTGACGGAGCACTTAAATACACTGAACACTTTATTTTCTCAGCTTACATCTTTAAGCTGTAAAATAGAAGAACAAGAACGTGTTGAACTTCTACTTCAAAGTCTACCGGATTCGTATGATCAACTCATCATTAACTTGACAAACAGTAATATCACCAGTCTAGTCTTCGATGACGTTGCAGCTGTTGTTCTACAAGAAGAAAATCGGCGCAAGAATAAAGAATACAGACAAGTAAATCTGCAACAAGCAGAAGCGTTAACAACGATGACAATGATGAGAGGGAGATCAACAGAACGTGGCCAAAGCAACAGTCACAAACATGGTAGATCGAAGTCGAGAAGCAAGAAGAATTTAAAGTGTTACAACTGTGGAAAGAAGGGTCACTTGAAGAAGGATTGTTGGAGTCTAAATAAAAACTCCAATCCACAAGGCAATACCGCAAACACTTCAGATGATGGAGATGCTCTATGCTGTGAAGCGTTAACCACCGTGGAAGGAATAAAATACACCTGCAAATCTATTTCAACAAGTAAACTAACCACTGAAAAGGACAGAGAGGATGTTAGAAGAGAGGTTTCACTACTACATCACCTAACAAGGGCAACCGAATATTGTGGAATTCAAAGGTGCTTATGAAGATGGGAAGAATGTGCATCTGGTGATGGAACTGTGCTGGGGTGGCGAGCTTTTTGATCGGATCATAGCCAAAGGGAGTTATTCGGAACGTCAAGCGGCTTCTATTTTCAGGCAGATAGTGAATGTGGTGCACGCCTGTCATTTTATGGGGGTTATGCATAGGGACTTGAAGCCTGCAAATTTCTTGCTGGTTAACAAGGATGAGAATTCTCCGATAAAGGCCACAGATTTCGGACTCTCCATTTTCATTGAGGAAGGTTAGTTCTGTTTCTATTGCTACCCTTTGATATTACTATGCATAACTTAGGACTTATTTTCTTATGTATTGAGCTCTTTATGTTTTCTTTTTCATGATTGTGAAATTGCTATTACAAAGAAAAATAAAAAGAAAAGCAAAACACTTGAAGTCGACCTATTTATGCCTCATTTCTTTATGGAATTTCATTTGCGTGAAATCAAGAATCTAAACAGAGCACCTAAAGTTTACCAAATATTTCAGGCACAATGTATAGGGAGCTTGTCGGAAGTGCATATTATGTTGCACCGGAGGTATTAAACCGGAGATATGGCAAGGAGATAGATGTGTGGAGCGCTGGTGTCATTTTATACATTCTTCTTAGAGGGGTGCCTCCATTTTACGGAGGTATTTTACATGAAAATTTTATTTACTTATATTTGTATACATTCTTCATTAATCCAATATAGATTTCTGTTACAACAAGACAGCTTTAGGGAAACACAAAGATGTTCCAGCATAGCTCTAGGGAAACTTTCATATGGAAAGGATTGGCTTAGTTTTGCTTTTGGTTCTGATATCTCTTCTAATGTTGATGAATGATTTTATTGCAGAGACAGATAAAGAAATCTTCAAAGCAATTTTAGAAGGTAACCTCGACTTAAAAAGCCATCCATGGCCATCTATATCTGAAGGTGCAAAGGATCTTATCAGGAAGATGCTGGCAAGGTGCCCCAAGAAACGGATTACATCTACTGAAGCCCTAGGTAAAAAAAGTTAATGTTTCTGGAAATTTTATTAGGCAAATCCCTTCAAGATAATGGAAAAAGGGAAGAATTGAATTGACAACATTGAACATCGGGTCCATTTTGTGTATATGAACCAGACCATCCATGGATGAAGGAGGGCAGTGATGCATCCGACAAACCTATCAATACTGCTGTTCTTAGTAGGTTAAAGCAGTTCAGAATAATGAACAAGCTAAAAAAACTGGCCCTAAAGGTATGGCCTACGCCTCTGGTTTTTCATGTTACAATTTTAGTCGTCCATAAAAGCAAAAACTTCATTTATTTTCCCACCAAGTGATATCTTCATCTGTAAATTCGATTTCCGGAAGGTGATAGCAGAAAGCCTATCATCAGAAGAAGAGATCAAGGGCCTGAAACATATGTTTAAAAACATCGACACCGATAGAAGTGGTACAATAACACCAGACGAACTCAGAGATGGATTAGCTCGATTGGGATCGAAGTTAACTGAGCCAGAAATAAAACAACTTATGGAAGCTGTAAGATTTTATCCAACTATATGGTCCCTCCTTTCCACCTATATTCCCATTAACATAAGAATGAAACAAGCCTAAACCTTATTTTGTCAGGCTGATGTTGACAGCAGTGGAACCATTGATTACATTGAATTCATAACTGCAACAATGCATCGACATAGGCTTGAGAGGGAAGAAAATATAGTCGAGGCCTTTAAGTTCTTTGACAAGGATAACAGTGGGTTAGTGTGTTGCACTACTGCCTTTCCAGTTTTGAACAATACTTGATTGAACAACAGACTTTGTCTTCTTTAATTCAGGTTTATTACAAGAGATGAACTAAGCCAAGCTATGATGCAGTATGGAATGGGAGACGAGGCTACCATTGATTAAGTTATCGAGGATGTTGATACTGATAAGGTTTTAGTTTCGCTTCTTATTTAAGAAAATTGTCTATCTTTCTGTTGCTTTCTTTGCTTCACTTGATTTTAATGGACAGGACGAGAGGATCAATTATGAGGAATTCGTGGCCATGATGAAAAGGGGAATTCAAGACAGATGAAGAACTAACTGGAAAAGGTCAAACTTCAGACTCTATGCATCTTCATAATTTTAAATTCATCGTTTATTGAAATTGATTTCAGCCAAGACACAAACAAATGAAACTTATGGATATGGAATTCAAAATTCATATGCACAATCTTCGATTGAACAAGACTAACACATACTTGATTCATTATCAATACAAAACCAAAGCACAAACATTTAGCTTACAAAGTAAAGAAATGAATGAATCATTACCGTCCATCTTCTGGCTCCTTTTGAATCTGCTGCCTCTTCTTGTTAACACATTTAGCTTGTTGCAGATTTACTTGTTTGTCTTCCTTGTTCTTGCGCCGATTTGCTTCTTGTAGAATAGCAGCTGCAACGTCATCGAAGACTAGACTGGTGACATTACAGTTTGTCAAGTTGATGATGAGTTAATCATATGAATCCGATAGACTTTGAAGTAGAAGTTCAACACGTTCTTGTTCTCCTATTTTACAGCTTAAGGATGTAAGCTGAGAAAATAAAGTGTTCAGTGTATTTAAGTGCTCCGTCACTGAAGTAGATTCTGGCATACGGAGAGTGTACAATTTTCTCTTAAGGAAAATTGTGCAACGATGTAGCCTCGTACAGTTTGGTGAGATGATCCCATATCTCCTTAGCTGTCTTCTTCTCCTCGATACTTGACAATACTTCATCTGCTAATGCTAGATGAAAGTTTGCCATAGCATTTCCGTCCATTTCGATCCATTTGTTGTCGTCTGTGAAATCTACTGGTCTTTCGCTGATAGCTGCTAGACAACCGTCTTTCCTCAGGATGGCCTTCAACTTCAATTTCCATAATGAGAAATTTCTCACATTGAACTTTTCAATATCAAATTTCGTTGCCATTGCTTCGTTTACGGATAGCTCCCACTATTTCACTATCGTGAATAGTTCTCTGGAACTTTCAAAGAATGGGTAATAACTTCTTACTTTCTTATGTTGGAGGATCTACCTTTTGGTGGCAACCACAAAGACAATAAGCAGATATTACACACTCTAATCTAGCTCTGATACCAATTGTTGCGGAAGACGGCTATCGGATAGAGCAAAATCGCAATTGATAATTTGAGAAAATAAAAATAAAGATAAAAAGAGACACAAAATTTACGTGGAAAACCCCTAAATAAAATAGGGTAAAAACCACGGGCAACGGTAGAAGAATTTCACTATGAGAAAATAGGAATTACAACCTCTCTCGATCTACCAAGGAGAAAACAATGATAATTCTCTCTTGATAAAAAAAAAGAAGAAAACAACTCTCAAGAAACTCTCTAAATTCTCTAGTATTGGAAGAAAGCTAGAATGCTTTGGGATGATTTTGAAGCTAAATGAGCTAAGGTATTTATAGTTGAAACCTAAGGACTAATTTGTAAATACCCTAAAGTTTAATGACTAAATTATGATTTAGCCATTGTCCAAAAATCAACAAAAACAACTCATTTTTTCGATGCATTTATTATATGCACCTTTCGGTGCTTAGTCAACAATATATGGGGGTAGCGCCTTCGACCAAGGGTTCATTAAGGGACGATCATGCTCAACTTATGAGCTCATTGTTGAAACGGTGAATGCACTAAAACATCTATTGTTTCAAATATTTTAACTTTCTTATATTTTAATTACTCTGACGACAAAGTTGAAAATATTTCATTTGCTCAGGAAAAAAAATGCCCTGGTTCACAGCTATAAAAATGGTTTCTCTGGGTTTGCAGCATATCTATCAGCAAAAGAGGCTCATTCAATTACCCAGAGACAAGGAGTTGTTTCAGTATTCCCCGACCCTGTGTTAGAACTCCACACTACTCGCTCTTGGGATTTCTTGAACTATCAAACATCCGTCGTGATTGACTCGAGTCCCATCTCGAACTCGAACTCCACATCTCATGATTCGGATTCCATCATTGGCATCCTAGATACAGGTGAAACAAACATGTTCGCCAATCTGTAGAATTCCATCACATTGGTTCTCTCTGGATATTGTTTTGTTGTTTGTAAGATGTTTATCACGCAATTGGCAATGCAAATTTCACTTCTTTCCTTCAACAAGTTACGTGAGCACTAACATGAAACACGATGACATAGGGATTTGGCCCGAGTCGGAGAGTTTTGGCGACAAGGCCATGGGTCCAATTCCATCACGATGGAATGGCACTTGCGCAGCTGCTCAGGATTTCAACACCTCCAACTGCAACAAGTAACCTCTCAGCCGTATGGTTAATTAAAAATTTATTAATCTCTTAAACAAGTCCTAATCGTTTGTTTTGAAACAGAAAGATAATTGGGGCAAGATCCTATGACATTGACGAAAGGTCGGTAATAAGGTACCATTCGCCGAGGGATATGGTTGGACATGGTACCCATGTAGCATCAACGGCAGCAGGGAGTGAAGTTCAAGGTACATCTTACTACGGACTGGCGGCAGGGACAGACAAGGGAGGATCCCCAGGGTCAAGAATAGCTGTATACAGAGTATGTTCCCCTTTTAATGGATGTCTTGGATCCAGCATATTGGGCATTTGATGATGCAATAGCCGATGGGGTTGATGTTTTATCAATATCCCTTGGGTCACCATCGTTTCTAAAACCACAAATCACAGATGATCCCATTGCCCTCGGAGCATTCCACGCGGTGCAAAATGGAATCACTGTGGTTTGCTCTGCAGGCAACGATGGACCGGAACCTGGATCAGTTGTGAATGCTGCACCTTGGATCATGACTGTTGCCGCTAGCACAATTGACAGGGATTTCGAGTCTGATGTTATACTAGGTGACAACACAGTAATTAAGGTAGTAATCATCTTCCTTGTCCTTTTTCTTGTTTTCTATTTGGTGGGTTTCGTCGCTTCTTTTAACCCATACACAGGGTGGAGGCATTCATTTTGGCGACATTCAAAAGTCTCCCGCATATCCGATTATATATGCAAAATCAGCCAAGAAAAAAGAAGCGGACGTAAATGATTCAAGGTGATGAACTATGAATAAATTTATAGAAACTTTATTAGCATACACCAAAATGAAATGGAGGGTTATTCTAATCACTTGTCTTGTTCTAGGAACTGCCACCCAGATTCCTTGGATCAAGAACTCGTCAAAGGAAAGATTGTTGTATGCGAGAATGTAGATAACTTGTACTCACCGAGTGAGAAAAAGGATGAAGTGAAGAAGCTTGGAGGTGTTGGGGCAGTCGTGATTGATGATGAATCAAGACAGATCGCTTCCTCATATGGTACATTTCCGACGTCGGTTATCCGTACAGAGTACAACCCCAAGGTTATTTCCTACATCAACTTGACAAAGTAATACGGCTACCCTAGTCAAATTAATCTCAAGAATCTCAATTAGATCATGTTTGAAAGTACTAATATTATCCTTTTCGAGATTTGTAGAAACCCAGTTGCCACAATCTTGCGTACTACATCACCCACAAATTACACACCGGCGCCTACCATAGCATATTTCTCATCTAGAGGCCCTTCAACTATCCCAAAGAACATTCTCAAGGTAACCCTTGTCTGGTTCATTCTTAAAGAACTTGTTTCTTCCTAAGCTGATATTGATGAAGCTATAAAATTGAATGTATTGCAGCCCGATATTGCAGCACCTGGGGTTAATATTCTTGCAGCATGGATAGCAAATGACACGGCTGAGGCACCAGAAGGTAAGGAGCCGCCATTGTATAATGTGATCTCGGGAACCTCTATGGCATGTCCCCATGTTTCCGGGATTGCTGCCACAGTCAAATCAAAAAACCCAACATGGAGCCCTTCTGCAATCAGGTCGGCCATTATGACAACAGGTGAGGAACGAAACGAACAAATATATACTTGCATTTACATTGTAAAAACTGTACTTTAGTTCGACTAATACATGACTGCTTCCAACCTAATTTCAGCAACTCAGATAAATAATCTGAAAGCCCCAATTACGACTGAGAAAGGTACACCAGCTACACCTAATGATTTCGGGGCAGGAGAAGTAAGCCCGACAGGGCCATTGGAACCAGGCCTAGTTTACGAGACTACTGCTGTTGACTACTTGAATTTCCTCTGCTATCACGGTTATAATATAACTACAATAAAAAATATCGCCAAAACTGTCCCAGAGGGCTTTACTTGCCCTGAGGAGTCGAGCATTGATCTTATATCCAACATCAATTATCCATCAATAGCGATTTCCAATTTCAATGAAAAGGCAGGTAGGAAAGTAAACAGAACTCTTACAAATGTTGCCGGCGATGGTAAATCAGTGTATACTGTAAGTATCGACGCACCTGCAGATCTGGATGTTCAAGTGATCCCAAACAAACTTCAATTCACTAAAAATGGAGACAAGTCATCTTACCAAGTGAGCTTCTCAACTGCAAATCCACTAAAGAAAGATGCATTTGGATCCATAACATGGTCGAACGGAAAATACAAAGTCAGAAGTCCATTTGCTGTAAGTAGTAAAAGCAATGAGTAGGGGCTAATATCCTTAATAAGCATTAGAGCAATGTGTTCAACATATATAAAGAAAGACAGCAGGATCCCCAAGTAGGCCATTCCACTATAATAAATGACTTTAACTCCCTTTTACCCTGGTTTTAGCATAATCTTCTATGTTTACCCTACATGTTTCACATCAACACATGCAAAATCGCACCAAAAAAAGAAATTAATTAAATAAAAACAACATTTATTAACACATTAGAAACAGATAAAATAAGTAAATACAGACGGGGATAGCAGAAACATGCTCTTTGCCAAGATGAAGTGTGTTTTGTCTTCTCCAACAAGGGCTTTGAACTTGGATATGTATTAGTTTAACTGGTTCCCCAATGGTATAACTGACTGATAATTTAGACAAAAGTGAAGGAGCATTGATAATTTATACAAAAACATTTACAAAATATATTAAACAAATAAAAAAAGAAATTATGTACCGCTAGTTTAGGAGTCATAGGATCATATCCGGTGCCACCAGAAGCGAAGGTTACTCCAGTTATGAGATCTTGGGGTTTCAATGTTGGATCCATATATGCTGGCACTATACCTTTAATTCCCAATTCTTCAGCTGAAATAAATTAATTAAATTTATATTGCTATGGATTCGGGTTATTAATGATACTTTGAAGACTCAAAATATTTTTAAAATTTAAGGATTAATTTAAAATCACTGTGATAGTATGTGGATATTTGGTGAAATTAACCCAAAAAAACAACCAGAGTAGTTTTTGAAGAAGCAGAGAAAAAAAAATACATATAGGCTATTGCATGTAAAAAAAACACGAGATTTCATGAACTAATTCTACCTATCAAATCAGAAGGAATTCTGCCATTGCAGAACCTTCCGGTTGGAACACCACCGTCAAAATCTTGGCCGTAAGGGAGGCAGTTGCACTTGATAATTGTCTGGATATCGTTGTTGTTACCGGTGTCAACAATGGAATCCCCAAACACAATTACAGCAGGCGTCGTTTTATTTTCCGGCATCCTGATCAACGCTTTTGCAGCGATGAAGAGAGCAAAAACCAAGAGGCAACAGAAACGTTGAGGAAGAAGGAAAGGCAACCATTCCCACCATTTGATCCTTTTCTTAATTTCTTTAGCAGCACATTGTTTATGAAAGAAATGGAGTTGTTTGTCTTTCCGACTCATGTTTTGTGGTTATTTATATACATGCATATAACATAACGTGATTAAATGCTCATACATGCAAAAGGAAATCCCGCAGTTAAAACAAGTAGAATCTCCTTCTCGAAACTAGTATATGTTATAAACTTTGACAACTGTTTTATGATGTTTTAATATTATAATTTTAAAAATAAAATTATCTAAAATGCATAAGTACTGTGGGAAGTTATCTAAGGTAACGGTATTATCCCTATTCTCTCACAGGGTGTTTTCGATTAACGATCTTAAATTATCTCTATTAAATAAAATTATTTTATTTAAAAAATCTTATATTACTAAAAATAATTTTTAAATTATTAAATGAAATGTCCTTTAAATGTTTAGAAACTTGAAAGACTCGATGAGATTAATCTAAAACAACCGATTCAAGATTCATGGAGATTATTACAGTAAAAATTATACATGAATAGTTCGTGCGACACTATATGATTTTGTGAAAATTATATTCAGTGGCTTTAAGTTTTAAACAGCGAAGCTATACAGAGAAAAACAGAACATATCAAATTAAAGGGCCCCAAGCCAGTAAGAGGATCCAAGGTCTAAGTCAAGTATGAGATATAAAGGGTCAAGCAACAATGAGATTTAAATGTCATCCTCTTGTTGTTTCATTTCCTTTTAGTACATCTAAATGTGGGTGTTACTGAACTTTCTGTTCCTTCTTGTTTACACAAAAACGGGACACTCTTAATTCTTAATATCTTATGCAATGAATGAAAATAAATGTAGCTAATAGATGCCAGTTAATATATTATTTATCCTCAACTTAATAAAATCTCTAGATATATGGAGGTGTCTACTAAATTATTGTTAAAGTAATTTTTCGGTACTCTTTAATTAAGATTTCGTTCAAAATCAAGGGCAGACAGGAAGACCAAAACAAAATTAACTTTTTCAAATACACTTTGTTTAATTTTGAAGTTATTTTTACAAACATTTCCTTAAAAAAATCAAACAATAGAATAAGTATATTTTTTTGGTATAGTATCAGGATGAAGTTATTTTACAACAGAAAAAGCGCGTACGGATGAGGATTAACTGATCGAAAGACAATGACAACTTAAACAAACTAATACAAGTTTAACTGTAAAGCAATGAAGCATTAATAAGGATGGAAGTAAGTAGTTGCACTCTGAAGTGTAATTCAAGCCCTAAAAATGACATGAAATTGCATGCCCGTACGGATGCGGTACACGACTACAATGGCATTGATAAGTTCTTTCTGCTGCCAATCTTATTTCACTTATTGGATCATCATCTTACATATATTAGATTAATATAAAGACAAATATAGAATTTTATGTTAAGAGGTGAGTTTATAAAATTTTATGGGGAGCGAATATAAAATCCATAAAATTTTAAAGGGTAAGTTTATAAAAGTTTAGGAGAACAAAAACATATTATCAATAGAAAATAAAAATACACAAATTTTTAATTTTTAATACGAGTGATTAGAATCTTTCAAAATCATTATAATACATATACCTTACAAATATAATTACTTGAACCGAAACATCAAAAAAATTAAATAATATTCATTTTTACCACTCAACAAATCGCTCCTCTAATTTGCGACTACAAGTAGAAACTACTTATATACTGTAACAACAATCTCAAGTAGTTGCCTAAAATATTGACTATCATTAAAAATGAATAGAACGTAGCGAATGGCTCTAGAACCAAAAGAAAACATGCTATTGCATAAAACTAGTCGACATTGTTTTCTATTAAACTACTTGATTATATTATTTTTCTTTTTTATATTCTCGATTATAAAATTGACATAACAATAAATTTAGCGTCTTCATTTTTATATATGTTTTAAGATTTGAATAAAATTATATAGTGCTTTAAAAAAACGAAGAAGAAGAAGAAATATTAAAATATTATTCAAACCGAATTAGTTTAGAAATAAATTCTGACATAAACTTTTAAATTGAAATTGAAGTGGATGTAATACTTCTTAAAATTTGATATAATACATTAATTTTTTGATTGGAGTATGAGCCAAAAAAAACGACCCTGATCGATTTGTGTAGACAAAACCCACATTCAATAGGAATCCGGACCTGCAATATTTCTCAAAGACTAGGGTACGAACTAAATAAGCTTAAATGGACTAAACACGTGCAATAGAGGGACGGCCAATTCCCTTTATACACAAAATCAAACGTTTTGGCAAAGGACACAACGATGCATTAGAATTCATAATAATATTCAAATTTAACATCCACGGCAGAAGTATACTACTGGTAAGATATTGATGGACTCAGCAATCTGTCCCATCTCACTTCCCCGTTCAAAAACTAAATTAAGGCCCCCCACTAATTAGCTTCTCTCATATGGTATCTAAATTTTTTATTCAAATCTTAAATGGATTCAATTTGATATTTCATCTTACTCAAATTTATAGGAATCTCATTCATCTCAAACCTGATTTAAAACTTAAAAGTGAAGATTCATCTTAATTCGATTCGACTTGACATCACTTCAAAACTCCTAATTGTTAAATCAAATGTTAAAATTCTACACGAACAAATAAACTAAAAAAACATGTAGAAAATCTTTTAGAAAAAATCAAAACCTTTAAAAAGAGAATAAAGAAGGAAAAGAAAAAGAAACATATATTTTTGGTTTTCAACTATCAATATATATTTTTGATAATCTAAATACTTAATAAACTCATCTTGATGAGAGAAATGATATAGTTCTATTTTAATCCGATCTAACAACGAAGGAAGAAGATATAAAACAAAATAGATCAATAATTATGACTTAAATTTATGGACATTCAGGTATTTTGTGATGAAACAAACACCGTATCCATAATTAAAAGATAGTTCAAAAATTTTGGAGTTCAACTGTAATTGATGATGAGGATCAATGTGGTTACTAGTGATAATTTTAAGATTTCTAAAATTTGGGGTAGAAAGAAATGAGATGTTTTGTGAAAGAAGAAAAGAGTGAAGAATAAAAAAAATGAAATATTGAATTAAAAATATCTTTTATATTTTGATAGAATAGTTTTCGTTTTAAATCTAATTTCGAAATTTAATCTACTTTGATCCAAATTTATGATTTTAGAATAAAAATATAGACTTTATAAAATCACATCGGATCAAAACCTGCTCAATACATCAACTTGTTTATCACCATCTATCCAACAACTTTCCTGGTCTCCCTTTGCTCAGAGATTGATAAGATCGAATCTCTGATGATCGCATCAAACGGAGTCCTCTTACTCTTGCATTTGTATATGCAATTTTTCAAAAGAACTATTAAGAAATAAAATTTCAGCCTCCTTTACTTGCAGTTCTGAACACATACCTTGGGATGATGTTAATTATGTGTTCCAATCTTTAGATATCAAGCTTTCCACATTTAATTCAACATCTAATGTTATATTAGATGGGAATTGGGTATCTTTATATGAAAGATTTCATGTAAACTTTAAACCCATCCCTACAACCGCCTTGTGCACAAGATCTCTAGCTAACCCTTTGGTTAGATGGTCGGCTAAATTCAACTGAGTTCTCACAAACTCCACAGATATCACACCATTCATGATGAGATCACGAATTATGCTATGTCTAACACCTAAATGTCTAGACTTCCCATTATACACTTGACTATAAGCCTTAGCCAAGGTAGCAGCATTATCACACCTGATAGAAATGGTAGATATCGGTTTAGAACATAATGGAATTTCATATATCAAATTCCTTAGTCACTCAGCTTCTTTACCAGCTGCAACCAATGCTACAAATTCAGACTCCATTGTTGAGTTTGTAATACAAGTATGTTTCTTGGATGCCCAAGAAATTGCACCTCCTCCAATAAGGAATGCCCAACCACTTGTAGAGGAATGATCCTCCATATTGGTAATCCAACTGGCATCTGAATAACCTTCTATAACCGAAGGGAATCCATTATATGTCAACCATAATCCATGGTTCCTTTCAAGTACTTGAATACGCGATTTAAAGCTTGCCAATGATGTGAACTAGGATTGCTAGTATACCTACTAAGCTTTCCTATAACATATGCTATATCTGGCCTACTAATCATGGCATACATAAGACATCCAATAGCTCTTGAGTATTCAAGCTGAGACACTGGTGCTCCTTTATTAGGTAGAAGCTTAAGATTAGGATCTATAGGAGTGCTAACAGGAGAACAAGTTTCAAAGTTAAAATTTTTCAATATCTTCTCAATATAATGAGATTGAGAAATTAAAACTCCATTGTTTCCTTGTTTGATTCTTATACCAAGAATCACCTAAGCCTCCCCCCAGGTCTTTCATATCAAAGCTAGATGACAAGAATTTCTTGGTTTTATCAACTTGATCTTGGTCAGTCAAAAAATCAGCATATGATCTACATATAGGCAAATTATAACTCCTTTACCAGTAGTATCAAATTTGCTATATACACACTTATCAGATTGGTTTAGTGCAAACCCATTAGATAATACCACATCATCAAACTTTCAATGCCATTGTTTTGGTGCTTGTTTCAGACCATATAATGATTTCTTCAACTTGCACGCCTTGTTTTCATTTCCAGGCATCACAAACCCTTCAGGTTGTTTCATGTAAATCTCCTCATCCAATTCACCATTCAAGAATGCAGTTTTCACATCCATTTGATGAATAACAAGATTATGTATAGCTGCAAGAGCCAACAACAATCTTATAGTGGAAATCCTAGCAACAGGAGCATAAGTATCAAAGAAGTCAATGCCTTTTTTTTGCCTAAACCCTTGGGTAACCAATCTGGCTTTGTATTTATCTATGGTGCCAT